CTGTCTCTAATAGCAACCCGGGTTACTCGGGTTACTCGGGTCTCAATCGGCCTGCCCAAACCCGAGTAACCCGGGTTGCTATTAGAGACAGTTCGGGCAAGACATGAAATACATGAATCATTGAGAGGCGTACGCATGTCCGACCCAAACCTAACTCCGAGCGCTTCTTCGTAAGCACCCCCAGTCTACAATAGAGATTTAAGCCCTAAGCCTTAAGAAATTGACTAATCACAGTCGCGCATTCTACTCATACTTGACCGTGATTGGCCAATTTCTTAAAGCTTAGGGCTTAAATCATCTATTGTAGACTGGGACTAATGCATCAGCTGAGTTCGTTTCTTGTGTTTAATGTAAGAGAATAAATTTAATTAATAATATGTCTAATACAATTAATCCCAAATATAAATTAGACATATATTGTGAGGCCGAGAAGAAAATGTTTACTTTCGTAGTTTCGAGAGAAACTTATTTGCGGGCTGAAGGCAGTAGGTGGGCTAAAAATGGTTTTCATTATTTTCAATACTTGTTTATAGACTAACTAATATTTAGACTAATATTTGACTAACTAATAAACAGGTATTGAAAATAATGAAAACTATTTTTAGTTTACTTACTGCTTTTAGCTTGCAAATAAGTTTCTTTCGAAACTACGAAAGAAATATAAGAGAATAAATTTAATTAATAATATGACTAATACAATTAATCCCAAATATAAATTGGATATATATTGTGAAACCGAAAAGAAAATGTTTACTTTCGTAGTTTCGAAAGAAACTTAATTATTTGCAAGCTTAAAGTAGTAAGTAAAAATAGTTTTCATTATTTTTAATATCTGTTTATTAGTTAGTCTAATTTTAGTTAGTCTAATATTAGTTAGTCTAAATATTAGTCTTATAAACAAGTATTGAAAATAATAAAAACCATTTTAACCCACCCACTGCCTTCAGCCCGCAAACAAGTTTCTCTCGAAACCACGAAAGTAAACATTTTCTTCTCGGCCTCACAATATATGTCCAATTAATATTTGGGATTAATTGTATTAAACATATTATTAATTAAATTTATTCTCTTACATTAAACACAAGAAACGAACTCAGCTGATGCATTAAGGTCGTTCTACATTAGTCGCATCTTAGCGTCGCAAGGATCGCAAATCATAGATTCGGCCAATCAGCGTTGACTTATAACTAGTCTACGACCCTTGCGACGCTAAAATGCGACTAATGTAGAACGACCTTTAAGCCTCCGCTACAATAATTCTCGGTTCTGTCTACAATGGTCGTAGTCGTAGTCGCTCGATAAAGGCCTTCACACATAAAATTCCGTAAGGACGTAAAACGTAAGCATAAAAAAATCGACCAATCACAGTCGAGAACGTAAGGCAATGACGCAAGCAGTAGCAAATCCAACCTGTTGATTTTCTTACGCTTACGTTTTACGTCCTTACGGAATTTTATGTGTGAAGGCCTTAACCCCTGGTCCACAATCTTGCTTTAAGTAAGTTGTAAGCCTTAAGCCGTAAGAAATTAACCAATCGCAGGCATTTATTCCCCTCACTCTCACCTGTGATTGGTTAATTTCTTACGGCTTAAGGCTTACAACTTACTTAAAGCAAGATTGTGGACCAGGGGTAAGAATTGACCAATCGTAGTCGATTATTCTTACGACTACGACCATTGTAGACAAAACCGAGAATCATTGGCCACGTTCAGCAGACACAACTGTTGAGTGAGCGCTCAGTATGATTGGTTAATACTTTTAGATCCAGCCAATCATATTAAGAAATCATTGAGCGCTGAGGCTGGATTCACATGGAGCGTAACTTGCGTAGCGTAACCTGCGTATCACCAATCACAGAACTATTTCAACGGAATTATTGAAACGGTTCTATCAGAATGACCCTGTGATTGGTGATACGCAGGTTACGCTACGCAAGTTACGCTCCATGTGAATGAGGGCTCACTCAACAGTTGTGTCTGCTGAACGCGACCATTGTAGCGGAGGCTTTACGGAACCTACGCAAGTTAGTTACAGTGGTACCAACTTTGTAACTAGAAATATAGCTAATTCGGAACGCACCCACTGTGACGCAGCTTGTTGGCGCGCAGGCCGCCATACTCTTGCAAACGACCGAAGGTTGCGCATCTCTTACTTGAGGATCTCTAATCTAACAACACTGCCGCTGACATCTACAATTCTCGGGTACACCTTGAAGCACGGAGAACCGCGGCGGTGGCGTATACCGTGGTGAGGTACATAGTGTGAATTCGCGTGAGGCAAGCGGGAGGACACTTTGGCTTGCTTTGCCTGTCATTAGACTGTCGCGAGAGGCTTCCCCGATGACGTGACACGCCGAGTGATCGATAGCACTCCGCGCGCCCCAGTCCGACGTCGTCTCGAGCGGGATACATTCCGTCTCCATCAGAATCGTCACCGATCGGCTGCTATGCCCCGCGGTATCCTAAGTGAATTAAACTATTAACACTTGTCCTCCGAACTGACAGCGAAACTACGCATCGGATGCCGGGCGGTTCCGCGATCTCGCGCCGAGAATCCGGAGTCAGGATGGCCGGCAGCATGTCCGACGCGACGCGTTTGAAGTACACCTGTGTCAACGATCTCCTGGCGAAGGCGAAGGTCAGTTACAAGGGTATAGAGCCGCGCTACGTGCACCAGAGACTCCCGGCTATGCAAAGCAAGGCCGACCAGGCGAGGAAGGAACGGGACGACGAGACCGCGTACATCATGTTGAAGAGGTGGCTGGACGCGGTCGAATGGTTGAGGAGGATGGCAAGTCACGTTAAGGACAGCAAGTCTGTCCATTCTTATACTAAGAACATACCTGACGCCAAGGTAAGAGGTGGACGTCTCTAAAACGAGCAGCCTGACGTGTCGTACAGTTGATGAAATACATGAATGTTTATATTCTAGATAAATGAAGTGAAAAACGTACTTGCAGAGATGAAGCAAAAGTTGGAAGTGCGCTATGAGCTTAATTCCAAGAGGCAAAACGACAAGGTGGAAAGAATGGAGGTAGAAACGAGCGAATCCGAGGCACCGAACAGCGACATTGGATTGAAATTGCCAGAAATACCGACTGACGATCCAACGTATATAAATTTGTGCAGCGACAGTGACAAATTTATATCGTGCGATCAGGTGTATTACCTGATACATAAGATAGGCATCAGATATTTGATCATTGACACTAGGCAGAAGGTTCATTACGAAAGTTCTAGGATATTGTCCGACAGATGTATCAACATTCCGCAGTCTGAGATCAGAATAGGGTAGGCGAAGCATTTTTGCGCAACCTTGTATCTTTTTGTAACTCTGTTTCCTTTTAAGTTATTTTAATTTTTCTTGGGTGGACCTTTGCTTGTAGATTACTGGGCTGTCACTTTGAAAAGTGTTTCACAAAGGACAAGTGTGCACGTCAATTATTTGTCGATCGATCGGCACAGCACATAGACATTTTAGTCTTGGTAGACTGGAATGCTACTCAGGAGACCCTGGCACAGTCCTACGCTCTGAATGTACTAAAGGATATTTTCGAGAAGTGGGACCCCACTGTAAAGCATAATAAGATTTCGATTCTGAATGGAGGATATCAAGAATGGCTGGCGCGGTATCCGGCGTTTACAACGAATCCCAGTATCCAGATACCAGAGTTCAACAATGTCGAGAATGAGCTTTTGGAAACTTTGAATGGAGATTTTGAATATCCCGATTGGTTGGAGTCTGAAGAGGAAGACGAGATCCTGAAGAAGGATCGATTAATTACAAGCAAATTGAATAACAAGAAGATTGTTGTGGAAATGGATCACAGCGACAACAAATCGGCGGCACCCAAGCATGCCAGATCAAATAGCAATGACAACACGGTTTCTTCAAACAAATCCAATAATTTTATTACTCATGTAACAATATCAATTGACGACAAACGACCGCCTCGGGGTGACACGGTGAATGGACAACGATTGGAGAGTCCAGAAAGTCCAGTGTTATCTCAGCCTAAGACATTGTTGAATAAAATGACGCAAAATGAAGTGAACCTGAAACCGGTGATTGATCGCAGTAGTAAACCGACCGTCTTGAAGACATATGATCCACGATGTAAGGAGGTATTAAGGTTCATGAAAGAATTGAACGAACTGGCAAAGTCGAAAGCGAAGCTCGCCAACGAATTGCTTGACCAAGAATGCGCGCTTTATTCGCCGCGTAAGGATAAGTACAGTCCCAGTGATGAAAAGTATCTGCGAGCAGAAATAAAGTCTCTAAAAGTCAAATTAGAAGATATGGTACTTGTTCACTTATTTTTTATAAACTGCTTTAATGTATTGTCTGCGCCACACAAAAGCTATGGAGACAATTCAATATTAAATTTTTATAATTTGCGTTGCAGCACAAAATGTATGACAAAATCGAAAATGAGTATAAGACTTATTTAAAGGAGGCAGATGCAATCAAATTTAATGCCACCGAGGATAATGAGAAGAAGAATCTTGAACTTACTCTCTCTCTGGAAAAGAATAAAATCAAAGACATTGAAGCCAAGAGAAAAAAAATACAGGAGTAAATACATTTATACTTTATTAATATTAATAAGTAAAAGTCTTAATATATTTAATACATTGAATGCTACTGCACAGTTTTATGCTCAATGTTATTTTTATACTAGCACATTATTTTAATATTGTTTCTTATTTTACACAAAATTTATAATATTTTTTGCTTCTAAAAATCAGAATGGACGAATATATATAATATATATATATATATATATCTGAAGCATAAAGTATATAAAGTTTATAATGTCCATTGACTAATCACAGTTGTGTTCTAAAAGTAGACTTTTAGTTCTATGGCTAGAAAGTTTAGCGTCAGAATCCATTAAAAAATGTAGGGTGATAGGCTGTCAGACTTTTTTTTTCAATTTAATCACATGGGCAAATATGTTTTCGACTAATATTTGTTATTTGGAGAAACTTATAATGGTTCTTATTTTATTCATTGCTTTTCTCTTGCCGCATTATATGAGCAAAAGCTAGTGAACCGAGTGAAATTATTAAATAAGTAAATTTTGTCGTGTTGCTTAAAGTAGTAAAATCCTATCTTATTCTCAATTTATTAGCGACTTATTTTCTTATCTATTATTCAGGATACTTTTTATCAGTAGTTTGTTTATCGCCATTATTAAAATTACATTTTACAAAGTTTATTTCTCGTTTTAATTGATATTATGCTGTGTGATTAAAGAGAATTCTTACAAAGAGAGCATAAGGATTTAATGAAGCAAAACGACAGTGATGTTTACAAAGAGCCCTTGAAGACTGACGGTTCATCCATTAACACCGGCCTGGAGCGTTCCTATTCGAGTCCAAATCTGTTACAGGTACGAGGAACCTCGCGCCTCAATTTTACAATCAATCCGTTTTCTTTTGTTGATCTATTTAAAATAGCAATCGCATAATTACATAATTCCATTAGTTGGGAGATCGTAAAGCACCTCAGATAGATAGAACTTCTAAGCCACATATTTCGCCTCGCAATCAGAATGGATTGGGAATTGGGAATGAGAACATCAAAGTGTCTCCTCTTAGTTGGGGAAATCGGGAGGAACGAATGACCCCTATTCACGGCACTGTTGTAAGTACTTATTCGGACAAGATTGTACGGGCGCTTGCCGGCAAAATTGCTAATACGATCTTATGATACATACGAATACTATCACAGCTTTCGCTTTCACTACATCCATTTTCGCGACATTGGAGACGAAAGTCCGTGTTTTAAACGATCAAAAATGCTTATGGTGTTGGATTCTCAGTCTTCCATTTCATATAATGCTTGGCACAAATCACGTGTGTGATATTGAACTGCTAGATATCGGCATGATATTGGTGGAATTTATCCATACAATACTATCAATACAATAGTTTAAGATCTCAGGCAAAATTATGGAATTTTATATGTACAATTTTATTTTAGGCATTTTGTTTAAAAATCGGGAAATAATTTCATTTTATTAGAATTAGTACTATATTAATTGAGATTTTATTTGAAAAATGTTTTAAAATCCTCTAAAATTCTTCAACAGTAGAAAAATTAGTATAACATAAATGAAAATATAATTTTAAGTAGAAGGAATCTAGTAGTTTTCAGGAAGATATTGCAAATACTTCAGATATTTTAATGGAGAAACAGTCTGTTTCATAAACAATAGCATATAACATATCTTAGTGCAATAAAGTGTTTGTCCTTAAAGTGGACCCCCTTTAATACTGACCAAAACTATTCGAAAGATATTTTATCACTATTTTTGTAACCCACATTATTTTTAAATATTATATCTTCTTTATTCAATAAAATTATATGATTTAAACAGGCCGTAAGCTTCAATACATAATTATCAGATTTTAACTTTTTTCATATAAAAAATATAGAAACAAGATAAATCTTCAATTTATTCAGTGAAGAGATACAGATATAGTTACGTTTCTTAAATTTAATGTATCTGTATCTATATTTGTATCGGTGCCTTTAAAAAAAAATATATATATATCAAGCTCTGATAATTATATATTAACAATAATTATGTGCAAATTGTGACTTAAAAGTTGTGTCTCTCCATTGAACTATTTCTACTGATGTTTGATATTTAGTATCTCCCCAAAGAAATTGAGTAATTCGTAAGAAGCTCATTAAAACCGAAATAAGTTTCTTATAATTATAAATACAGAGCAAGCACTTTAAATTAATAGACAGCATAAAAGTCATTGGGTCAGTTGACACGCATCTAATGATTTAGACGAAACTTCGTAGAAGCACGTGTCACGTGCAGCATAACTATATCATATAATAAATGAATGTACACGCACGTGTACATGCCCGGAGTGACTCAACACACGTGGGGTTTCTCAATCCAATCCACTGACAAACTTCCGACGATTAGTGCTACGACAAACACGCGCCAGTGTCCGAGTAATATTCGTCAGAGTGGGGTTCACCTGTCGGAGGTGTTCCCTCCTGAAAGTATCCGCGATATTGTTTTTTTTTCTACGCTATAAGGGAGCATTTCTTACAATTATATATTTATATTACATCTGCTACTGGCTTAAGATTCATTCATTCGTTAGCTTGCAACAACGGTAGAATGTGTAATTGTGTTTTTGATGCACGATAAAAGTCAAACATGCCTGTGGGGACAATGCTTACTTGTGATAAAACAATTTTTCGTTGTGATGAAAAGTGATAGAGACAATGGTGTATCTTCAGAGGAGGATTATTCCGTTGCAATTGCTTAATTATTTCAAAAAGGTAATGAATAGTGGCATAACAATCTCACATTAAGGCTCCCGGGCTCGCCATGGTCATGTTGGAAATTATGACGCGAGTATCAGCCCAGGAGCCTCAAGGGTTTTTCTTTTATCTTTTATTATACATAATAACGGTTGGGTGTGTATCTCCGGTTCCTATAAAAATTATTGCATTCAATGGAATATTCATTATTGCTTATATTAAATAATATATATTTGTGTATATTTATTTATATATACACTATATAGTTATTATTATATGAAATATAATTTTAATAAATACTGAGCTCATCCACGAATTCTTAACGCAACGCTTGAAATGTCATGTGTTAAAAAGGAACTCATTAACAAATACAATTTATTAAAAAATAATGAATGGCAGATTAGTCTTTGCGTCAATATACGATATACATATATAAATACGTCAGAGTAAGTACGTTATAAGGTTTGATTGACCATCGTATGTTGATGTAAATAGATCGATAAAGCGCTTAATTATGTTACGCGGAAAGTAAATTACACAGTTCTGCGACTGTGAATTCCGCTCTTTGTGAAAAGATGAGTTACTCGTACACAGTTATTATTTTATTATAAAAATTTCATAAAATGGAATTTCTGAAACAATTTTAACAATTGTCACCTTGGAAACAAAGTTTACTTACACGTTTTAAATATATTCAAGATTAAAATGGGATACCGCGCGTAAAGAGACGAGCTAAAAGTAAAATCTCTAAACGTTGAAATCTTCCAATGGCAAATTCTTATTAGTCCATCTCTACTCTCTCTTGTCATAACAGCGGTGGGTGTTTGCGTGTGTATGTTGCGTATACCTGGCACAATTATATGTAATTGATGTGATTTATCAGCGTAAAAGCGTAGCCTCCGTGTACTTGCAGCATCCGGGCATAACCGGCCTGAAGAATTTGGGCAATTCTTGTTACATGAACAGCATCATTCAGTGCTTGAGTAACACGACGAACTTAGCGAAATATTTTACCGATAACTCGTACGCTGACGATCTCAACACGAATAATGACAATGTGACACAAGGCCAAGTGGTGGAAGAAGTGGCTCAAGTAATTAAGGCGCTGTGGAGAGGCCAGTACAAAAGCATATCTCCTCACGACCTAAAGGTACTTGTCGTAGGCTTTATTCTTGTCAATGCCAATGTAACTTGTACAATTGTAATGAATTATTATCATTGCAGGTTGCAGTTGGACAATACAAATTGCAATTTGAAAGTTACGAGCAACAAGACTCCCACGAATTTCTTACGTTTCTCTTAGACTGGATGCATAATGATCTTAAGAAGGTAGAAGTTTGCGATGGGCACTTCATCGAGAATTAATATTAAAATAAAGACTAAAGTACTAAAGCGTTGCCTTTGCAGGAGGCGAAAATGTTGATCGAAATGACCAACGCGGAGAAAGAATGGGACAAAGCGATGAACTCGCAGAGATCTATAATATCGGACTTATTTTTCGGACAATTAAGATCCACCATTACATGTTCATTTTGCAAGCAAGCGAGTACTACGTACGAGACATTTAATAGTTTAACAATGTCTTTATCTCAGTCCAATCGGTGTACTTTAAATGTGAGTATTTTACAAAATATCGAATGGTACAATGTTTTTACGTCTCTCGTTTTTTTTTCATATGGAAGCATGATCTGGATAATTAGACAGACGGTTAAATTGAATCGATATGTAACGTTTTGCGGCAGTTACCTTATATGAAATTGCTTTACTATTTCAGGATTGTATGGAAAAGTTTGTGACAGGACAGAAAGTGAGCGGATGGAAGTGTCCCAAATGCCAGACGCCACGCGACGCGACGAAGAAGTTCGATTTCGTCAAACTTGCACCCATCGTCGTGATTCACTTGAACCGCTTTGCCGAGAGCGGCGGATGGTTGGAGAAACGCAACACCGCCGTTGATTTTCCCCTCACGGGATTCAACCTGAAGCCGTACCTCGTCTTGGAGAACACGAGGACGATCATGTCAAACAATATCCGTAATTACAATTATACTTTATACGCGATATCGAATCACTACGGAACAATGGAAGGCGGTCACTACACGGCGTACTGCAAAAACGCTACTCAAAATAAGTACGTATGTGTGGTATATTTCGTAAAAATGCTCTGTGTATAATCTCTCTTACTCTATGTATTAATGTAGAATAAGAGAGAAAGGGCGCGAACCTTACAGAATACAAGGTTAACATAAATTTTTATTCTCTTACGAGTATTTCTTTTCTAATAATACTGTTATAGAATATGATTTCTCGATAGAAATCTATATCAGGAATATTGGAAATTTCTCATGCCATTGTAACAACGATAATGTATTTGCAGATGGTACAAGTACGATGATCAAACTGTCACGGAGGCGTCGCCGAGCCAAGTAAAGTCTCAAAATGCGAATGCCTATTTATTGTTTTATACGTCATTTCCAAACACGATTATGTAGTATGAGGACACGGCCACGGATGTGAACAAGATCCAGCTATGACGAAAGTCTTCAGTGTGATATTACTTAAGGGAAGGAGTACACATGAATATGATTTTCGACGCTCTATAGATATTAAACGATTATATTTTGTATGATAAATTCCCTATGCACGAGCAAAACGTGTGATAGGGATCGTGATGATATTGAAAGCTTCATCGGTGCTGGCATTCATTATTAAGAAATGTAAATACGTATGGCGATTTTTCTGTATTTCTGCAGTCTGTCGCTTTAGGGGTAAAGCAAGATATAGCTGTACGCGAGAATATTTTAATATGTGTACAGCTTCGTATAATTATATTAGTGTACCTAAATACATTAGTCAGATTACATTATATTCGTTTAGCATTTTGCATTATTGTAGCCGGATTATGTGTTTTGCTTTGTATGTTAAAACAAAGCGAAAGGGGCCATAGTTCCTTGCCTTATCAAGCAATATAGATGGCATTTTTGAGGGATTTATTCGAATTTTGAAATCCAACTGTTAAAAATGTGCTTCAGTTAATCATATTTTGCACAAATAGTTTTTCAGCAGTCATGAATAGCGTTTAACATAGGCATAGACAAAAGGCATACACGTCGTATGCGGTTTAGACCGGATTAGCAGCACACTAACTGCCTTCTTCGCTGCGCTGCCAGTATTGTCGCAACGTACGACCATTTTGTACGTGAAGCAAAATGCTTCGTTGAAACGTACGCTTTAAAAAAGAAAAACGGTTGAGCAGAATTCCGTTACGTACGAACTATTGTGCGCGTGTATATGTAAGTTTATTGGCTTTCGAGCAGCCCAAAGAACACATCACATTTTATAATTAGTCATACATGTAATATTTCTATACCCAGAAAATAATATTTCAACGAAGGCTATATATAATATACGATCTTTGCAAATACAAGCTACTTTCATACTTTGTGGCAATGCGTTTATGTATATAATTATATTAGTAATTTATATATGTAACTATATTGGTACAGTTATGCTAATATATTTATGTATATAAATGTGTTCCCGCGAGTAGTATAATATAACAAACCTCGAATATTTTGTATGTATTTGCCGTACATATTGACACAGAGTGTGAAAGCAATTTTCAGTTGCAAAAGCTAGAATTAGATGAATTTTGCGTGAGTTCGCTAGTTCGTTACACAACTCACATTATTGATTTATTATTGCCATATATAATTATATTATTATTATTCGTGTGAGGTGCGTAATATACTTCTAAAATGTCAAGGAAAAGCGCCAATAACATCGTGATTTTGTGCAACGAATCTATTTCTTCAAATTCGTTCCTACTCTTTTACAGGAAGAGAATATGCGCAACATCCTTTCTCTCTTCGATCACGAGATACGCTGTGCTGAAATTTTCAAAGATGTGACCAGCGCTATTGCGAATACAGGGCGTTCGGGATATCTGAAAAGATCGCAATGTTGTTTAAGACTGATAATGTAATTAAAACGTGTAAGAAGTGGCTCGCATTGGGAGTGTACGCGATTCTTCGATCTTGCAGTCTGGTATACATAATTTTAAACATTGATTTCGCAAACACAGACCTGACTTGTAGTCAATGCTCTGTTTTAATAGATATAAAATTTCTTTATTACGAGATCTACAACAGTTTCTTCGATTACTTGCGTGCTATTTACTTTGAATTTTTGTTATCATGATAATAAAAATTCTAAGTAAATCTCACGTGAATACATTCACACGGATACACTGATATTAAATGAGGATTTTTATTTCTCCATCGTGTTATATAGCGCTACTCTTGTCATATTGCATTTTATCACGTTTAACTGATGCTTCTATTCCGATTAGACGAACATATAATCGGAACACGTCCTTTCTTCCAATTATTAAATCTTTTCAACGCGAACATATTTTTCCAGGTATCGCATTGTTTTCTTATCAGCTTCAATCTACCCGTTCGAGGGAACACTTAGTTTCACCAAGTACGTTAACGAAACGTATAAAAGTCGTTGTGGTGTATGAACTGATACCTAATTAAATTCTATAATTGAATTTTACAGTTGGGAGTAGAGGCAAAATAAACCTCGCTTCGATAAAAAGTTTCGTGAAAATCAATTCGCCCGAATTCTCGCGGGTCTCCGTGCGTGAAATTTTCAAGGTGCGCCCGTCCGCGCCCTTGATGAAACAGCAAATCAATTGTACCGCCGCGTTACGATCGACATGTCGATGCGAAGTTGGCCCGCGAAAATTCGCGAGTTCGCGTATACTCGCGGTACCAGCGGCCGCGGTCGTCGGCAATTAGCATCGGGCCCTGCGCGACAAGTGCCGAACTTTCGCGCGTCGTTAATAACCGGCCGTGCGAACGCAATCTGTAGCTCAATACACGTCCCCGTGCCTTAATCGGAAACTTGTCGCCGTTTCTCCTCGGCCCGTCTCGCGTCCCCCGCCTTCCCGGGACAATTTATATTCTTTTATCCTTTAATACGACCCTCGGGGGGGAAAGGACTCGACCCCCCCCCCCTCTTTCCCCCCGTGTCGTCGCCGTGTCGCGGGTGCCGCGCGCTCGGCCCAACTTTTTCCATATTCCAATTAGGAATATTTCCCATTGATTTAAGGCCCGGCCTCGCCCGAGGAGGCGGGCGAGTATTAACACCGCGATAAATTTACAGCGCCGATATACGCCGCGGGGGCCGCAGCCCCCTCGGAGAACCTCCCCCTCCCGCGTTAAGGGCAGGCGGGTGGGAGGGGGCGCGACGTAAGGATCGCGCGCCCGTTTACGTGTCGCCGACACACTTTACGAGTCGCAAAAACTCTCGTTAACATTAATCACCGTGCTTATCCGAAATCGATACGGCCGTCGAGGCCGCCGAGGGGTGAGCGTGTCACCCCCGTCTGTTTACGAGTGTTTCTTTCTTTCGTTTCCCCGACCCTCGGGGCTGCGAAAAAGGAAAATCACCCCCTTTGGAGGAGGAGGAGGTGGAGGAGAGCGTAGATCTCCGTCGAGGAGCGGCGAGAAACTCGCGACAGCGAGTGCCGCGCCCTTCGACGCTCTCCCCTTTCGCCGTAGGAGGCTTTGCTCGCCACGTGTTCCTTCTGGCGAGCGATTGCATCGCCGCGTTTCTGCGCGTCACGCGCTTGTGAAATGATCTGAGGAACCGAGCGTAAGGGCCGTCTCTTCCGCGGTTTCTTCGGATAGAGCGATACCTTTTCTCAAGAAATGAAAGGTCAAGATGGCGTCAATTTGACGTCTCAGTGACCAAAAAGTGACATAACTTGACGTCGTGTTGATTTTTGATTTTTCCTTGGGCTTGGAAAGGCAACGGTCTTGATGATATCTTTGCTTCCTTTCGCACAATTGTTTCATCGTTGGATTATAAGAATTCACTAGAGACTGACGATAAGCTTCCGACGTTCCGAAATTTAATTGCGTTTTCTCGCTCATTCTGGCCTTTGCATTGTTTGTACCGTAAATATCGGAGTTGAGAAAGTTACTTTATAAGAGTATCTAGTTACAGTCACAGTTGTGTTTTTGCTAAAAATGTAACTACCCACATAGCACAGCGACATCACAGTGATATCAGTGTGATATCTGTTTAAGAATATCCCATATCCCAGAGATATCTTGAGATATCCAAATTACATCAGTGTGATATCACGGGAATATCCAAATGTCCGCCTTTTATCACATCTCAAGTTAATATCTAAGAGACATCTTTGTGATGTCCCAAAATAATGTTAATGGGACGTAACAGAGACGTCCTTGCGATATCGTTTTATTCTAAAAAGATATCCCAAATAGCACAAGGACGTCCAGGACAGACTTGTGCTATTTGGGTAATAGCGACGTAGTAAAA